TATCCCCTTTCTCCTGCTCTTCTAGCCTGCTACTCTGGGCAGGCCTGAGTTTCCTCTCCTCACCTAATCCCTTCGGCTGATTGCTCTTCTCTCTGGCTTCCTGGCTTTTAATCCCCTTTCTCCTGCTCTTCCCACCTGCTACTTTGGGCATCCCTGAGTTGTCTCTCCTCACCTGTAACCTTGGGGCTGACTGCTCTTCTGTCCGGGTTCCTGGCTTTTATTCCCTTTCTCCTTTAATTGTAGAACCAAGTAATATGAAGTCTTTGACAACTTCAATCTTATCTCCATTTATCGTGATGCTGCTTATTGGTCAAGTTGTGAGGATTTTTGTTTTCTTTATGTTGAGATGTAATCCATACTGTAGAATGTAATCTTTATTCTTCATCAGAAAGTGCTCCAGGTCATCCTCATTTTTAATAAGAAGTTGTGTCTTCTGTTTATCTCAGGTTGTTACTGAGCCTTCCTCCAACCCTGATGCCACGTTCTTCTTCATACAGTCTAACTCCTCAGATTATTTGCTCAGCATACAGATTGAATAAATATGATGAAAGAATACAACTATGATGCATACCTTTCCTGATCTTAAACCATGCAGCATCACCTTGTTCTGTTTGAATGACAGCTTCCTCGTCTATGTACAGGCTCCTCATGAGTACATATAAGTGTTCTGGAATTCTCATTCTTCTCAGTATTATCCACAATTTGTTATGATCCACACAATCAAATGCCTTTGCATAGTCAATAAAACACAAGTAAACATCAGGTATTAGAAATGCCCCTAGAAAATACAGACCATGCCATTTTCACCCTGGCAAGATCTTGCACACAGTATGAGTTTAATAAATGGTTTTGCATTTAGTAACAGAACTAATAGCAAATTCACCATTCATTTCACTATATTCAGCATCAAGGTTGTACTTCTTAACATGACTGCTCACATACACTGAATATTACATTGGCCTTAGGATAATAACAGCTCCCACTGATTTCATGCTTTGTTGTTGTTGTTGTTATGTGCCCTAGAGTTGTACCCAACTCATAGCGGCCCTTTCTTGGGTTTCCAAGGCAGTATCACTATGGAAGTAGATTGCCCCATCTTCCTTCTGAGGAGTGGCTGGTGGATTTGAACCACCAGCCTTCTGGTTAACAGTGAAGTGCCTTAGGCACTAAGCTACCAGAGCTCCTTTCATGCTTAGTACCTGCCAATTATTATATACACACTATTTCTAATCTCTGGTGGCACAGTGCCTAAGGCATCTGACTGCTAACCAGAAGGCTGGTGGTTCAAATGCACCAGCCACTCTTTGGAAAGAAGGTTGGGCAATCTACTTCCATAGTGATATCACCTTGGAAACCCAAGGAGGGGTCACTATGAGTCAGATCCGACTCAATGGCAGTGAGTTTGGTTTTAGTTTTATTTCTAATCCTTACAACAATCTTATAAAATAGATGATAAACAAAACAAAACAAAGAAAAAAAACCACTTGCCATCGAGTTCATAGAGGTTTCAATGGCTGATTAAAAAATAAGGCTTTAGTTTTTTTACTAAGTTAATGTTTATTTTGTGTTTGACAGCACCCTTTAACATCAGACACATTCCAAGAGGATCTCATAGACAAAAAGTGCTTAACAGAAAAATACACACACCTCTCCTGTAATAAAGTCTTCTGCCAACCATGGCTGAAATGCATCGACGGGAAGTGTATTTGTAAGCTACCTTATCAGTGCCCAAAGAATGGTACTTCAGTGTGTTCAACTAATGGAAGAAAGTTCTCAAATTACTGTCAGCAAAAGAGTTTTGAATGTCTTAAACCACAGGCAAAGTTTTTAAATAATGGAACATGCAAAGCTGAAGGTAGGAAAAGACTATTTTTCAGGATCAAGTTATTTCATAAAAGGGCAATTGTCTGCCATACTTTCTACTGTTGTTTTTAGGTGCCGTCAAGTCATCTCTGACTCATAGTGGCCCTGTGCACAGCAGAACGAAACATTGCCTGGTCCTATGCAAGCTTCATGATCCTTGCTATACCTGAGCCCACTGTCGCAGCCACTGTGTCTATCCATCTATTAGAAAATACAATTATATAATTAAAAAATGTAAAATATGATAAAGATGACTCAGAGTTCTTCTCTTGACTCTCCAAAGTAATACAGATGAAAACTAAAGAGATCAGGCATCACAAGAATCCTGCTCTTGAGCCTGGAGCATGTTGCCCCTATGCCAGGCCTCCCTTAGCATCAGTACCACCCTGTGCTGCCCAAGCCCTCAAATTGCCTCCAGTCTCACTTTTATTCAGATAATGGGATTATTCCAAGGGCCACTGAGAGTCTATTAAGGACCCAGTGAAAAAGTCTTTACAGGAGATTGGTAATGATATGCAGCATAGTCAGCCCCTACTGGACCTCTGTCCCTAGTAATTTCTGTCACCTTCCATCCTTCCATCACCTGCCTTTCCCTTCTATCTCTCACCTCACTGGCCTTGATTATCCACATAGAGCTTGGGCTACTTCTGACTTGGATATACTCCAACCTAGCAAACTTGACTTCCCAGACAAGAGAGCTTGTCTAAAGTCCATCTGGTAACTAATTTATGAGGGGGCTGAGACTCTAAATACGTAGATTGGTGGAGTGGTTAAGATTAGGGTCTCACTGTCAGTCAGATTTTATTTCAAGCCCCTCTAAGCCCCACTTAGGTATGATGTATGACATCCCTGGTCCCCAGTTTCCACATTTGTAAAATGTGAATAATAGTAGGTTCTAACCCATAAGCCTCTTGTGACAATTAAATAAAATGATGTATGTTCTTGGCACACCAAAAATCCTCATTAAATTTTAGCCATGATGGCAAAATTCAGGCTTATTGTGCTCTGGTATCAAGTTATCACAGACACTTAGTGAATTTACAGATGAATGCTTATCATGTTCTTTCTAAAGTACCATGACATACACCAGCTCACAGTAACTCACATGTTTTTGTGATACTGAGTTAAGATACTGAGGTGCTGTGGAAGAGGAGGAAGAAAGCTCCCTATTGGAGCCCCTCTCTATGACTTGGTGGAAAGAAGGAAGGTAACAGTGGAGGTTATTAAGTCAGTGTCAGACTTTTCTTCCTCTCAACTAAATGCATTAAACATATGAGCATAAACCCTTCTTACATTGTCATTATTATTTATTTGGCTTACTTTAAAGACCATGAAGTTTCCAGTAAGATTAATATATCAAAACCAACTGCTGGACAGTTGACTTCAACTAATAGTGACCCAGGCATGTCAAGTAGAATTGTTCTCTATAGGGTTTTCAATGGCTGATTTTTCAGACTAGATCATCAAGCTTTTCTTCTAAGACACCTCTGGGTAGATGCAAATCTCCAAACATTTGGTTAGCAGCCAAGTGTATTAACTGTTTGCACTACCTAAGAATGTGTAAAATTAATATTGTTGTTATTATTAGTTGCTGTAAAGTCAGCTCCCAACTCATGGTGACCTCATGCACAATGGTATAGAATGAAGTGCTGCCCACCCTGCTCCATTCCCATGATCAATTGCAGATCAGACCATTGTGATCCAGAGGGTATTCAGTGGCTGATTTTTGGAAGTAGATTTCCAAGCCTTTCTTCCTAGTCCACCTTAGTCTGGAAACTTGGCTAAAACCTTCAGCATCACGGAAACCTCCACTGACAAATGGGTGGTAGCTGTGCACATGAGGTGTACTGGTCCAGGTCTTCCCAGGTCTTCCACATGGAAGGTGAGAATTCAACCACTAACTCATTGCAGTCAGTGCAGTGAATTGTTTGTTATGGCCCTTCTAGCCATAGTCTTCCATTTTGCAATGTTTTGTAAATTCTAGCCTCTACGCCTATGGTTATGGTCCCATTTTGGGGTGAGTTGCCCATTATGTTGAGGAGACAGGATTAGGGTGGGATGTATATTGAGTCCCACCTTGCTAGAGGGTATAAAGTGACTCAAGTCACCACCTTAATTGCCTTGAGGGTATATATGTGAATTTTCTGGCAAAGTTCACTCTCTTGATCTGGATCTTGTATCTGGTTCATCAACATCTCACCCCTGGGCTTGGGACTTGAGATAGCAGCCAACTGACTTGTGGATATGAGCTCATCAGCCCCTGCAACCATGTAAGTGGGGAGAATCCTCCAGATCAACGCCTGACCCATGGATTTGGAACTTGCCAGCCTTCACCATTTTCTTGGCAGTTTGTGAGTTCTGTGAGACATTATAGCAAAATACAGAACCCTAAGAGAGCATAGTGGCTAAGACACTTGCCTGCTAACCAGATGGCTGGCGGTTCAAACCCACCAGCCACTCCTCGGAAGAAAGGTTGGGCAATCCTACTTCCGTAGTGATACTGCCTCGGAAACCCAAGGAGGGGTCGCTATGAGTCGGGTTTGACTCGACGGCACATAACAACAACA